TTCCTTCCTTCCTTCCTTCCTTCCTTCCTTCCTTCCTTCCTTCCTTCCTTCCTTCTCTTGATCCAATAGAATAATAGGCTTCGGAAACATGCCTTTGAGCTGAAAATGAATGACTTGACATACTTTGTGCTGGCAGCTGAAAATGAGCAAGATATGGATGAATGGATTTTTACTCTCAACAAAATCCTTCAGATAAATCCAGAAGTGTCCATTCAAGAGAGGAAAAGCGCTGATATCAGTGATCTGAAGTTTGGTAAGTAGAAATGTTTTTTATCATTTAGCATATAGAATTAAGCATTTAAACCTCATGAAGCGTTACATATTTAGATCTCCTGGAGCTTTGAATCCCATTCCAGAACGGCTTAATTGTTCAATGCATAGTGTTAAATATTTTTATTTTTAAGTTGCAAAGATCCCCATGATGCCAGCTATTCTTGAATGCATTTTATTTTAACCTTCTTTTATTATACATATTATGTCAGGAAATCATAAAATATTCATACTCTGAAGGATTTAAGAGACTATATGCAATGAAGCCTGTCCTGTGATTCAAAATGTATCTGTAAGACACAATGGAAGAAATTCGTACTTTTCATATGAGTCATAATTTCACAAAAAGTTACATCTCTTGCTCGATCCAGTTTGACAGCCATGAAGAAAGTTTATTGCTCAAGAGGTTTATATGAATCACAGTTCTGTGATCACTGATTTCGATAAAACAAGTTTACCAAAATGGTTTGTATTATGACTGCGGGTTTTTTTTTCTTTTTTATGTAGATCTCTACCTGCTTGTAGAATTGTCCTTTTTTGTCTGCAAAGTCATGCTATAATTGCAGAACAGAAAATCAGTGATGTCTGTATAGACTGATATAAGCATACACTTCAGCCCCTACCCATCACAGTGTTCACCATTAAAAAAATTGGAAGCAAATAATCTTCACTCATTTTTTATATATATTTAAGATTCTGAAGACATATGCGTGAATTATGACTGCCATGAAGAGGAAAATGATTCTTCAGAGAATAATTTGCATCCAGATATAACTAAAGTAAGAGATTATTGTCATTACAGGGTAAAAAAATATTGTATTACTGTATATATATTGGTATGCAACCTGAAAAACCTGAACTTATCTTTCAAGGTACTAGAATTTAAAAGCATACTATGTCACACAAAGAAGCAACTATCTTTTTATTGTGATGATGTGTCATGGCGCTTTACTTTTACAAACCGTCACATTTGATGGGGAAAATATTAGAAATAAAAATGACATCAAATCATTTGAATTAATGCAACGATTGGAAAGCCAGTTTGGTGTAGTGGTTAAGACATCAGATTAGAAACCCAGAGGCTGTGAGCT